CATTTAAAGAACAGCTAACACCTATCCTTCTCAAGCTCTTCCCAAAAATTGCAGAGGAAGGAACACTCCCAAACTCATTCTACTAGGCCACCACCACCCTGATACCAAAACCAGACAAAGATATTAAAAAAAAAGAAAACTACATACCAATATCGCTGATGAATATAGGTGCCAAAATCCTCAAAAAAATACTAACAAACAGATTCCAACAACACATTAAAAGGATCATACATCATGATCAAGTGGGATTTATCCCAGAGATGCAAGGATTCTTCAATATATGCAAATCAATCAATGCGATACACCATATTAACAAATTGAAGAATAGAAACCATATGACCATCTCAACAGATGCAGAAAAAGCTTTTGACAAAATTCAACACCAATTTATGATAAAAACTCTCCAGAAAGTGGGCATAGAGGGAACCTGGCCATATATGACAAACCCACAGCAAACATCATTCTCAATGGTGAATGAATTTTCCTCTAAAATCAAGAACAAGACAGAGATGTCCACTGTCACCACTATTATTTAACATAGTTTTAGAAGTCCTAGTCACAGCAATCAGAGAAGAAAAAGAAATAAAAGGGATACAAATTGGAAAAGAAGAAGTGAAACTGTCACTGTTAGCAGATGACATGATACTATACACAGACAATCCTAAAGATGCCAGCAGAAAACTACTAGAGCTAATCAATGAATTTGGTAAAGTTTCAGGATACAAAATTAATACACAGAAATCTCTTGCATTCCTATACACTAACAACAAAAGATCAGAAAGAGAGATTAAGGAAACAATCCCATTCACCATTGCAACAAAAAGAATAAAATACCTGGGAATAAAGCTACCTAAGGAGGTAAAAGACCTGTACTCAGAAAACTATAAGACACTGATGAAAGAAATCAAAGATGACACAAACAGATGGAGAGATATACCATGTTCCTGGATTGGAAGAATCAATATTGTGGAAAGGACTATACTACCCAAAGCAATCTACAGATTCAGTGAAATCCATATCAAGTTACCAATGGCATTCTTTACAGAACTAGAACAGAAAAATCTTAAAATTTGTATGCAGACACAAAAGACCCCAAATAACCAAAGAAATCTTGAGGGAAGAAAACGGAGCTGGAGGAATCGGACTCCCTGACTTCAGACTCTACCACAAAGCTGCAATGGTCAAGACAGTATGGTACTGGCACAAAAACAGAAATATAGATCAATGGAACAGGATAGAAAGCCCAGAGTTAAACCCACGCACCTATGGTCAACTAATCTATGACAAAGGAGCAAGGATATACAATGGAGAAAAGACAGTCTCTTCAATAAGTGGTGCTGGGAAAACTGGACAGCTACATGTAAAAGAATGAAATTAGAACACTTCCTAACACCATACACAAAACTAAACTCAAAATGGATTAAAGACCTAAATGTAAGACTGGACACTATAAAACTCTTAGAGGAAAACATAGGAAGAACACTCTTTGACATAAATCACAGCAAAGTCCTTTTTGACCCACCTCCTAGAGTAATGGAAATAAAAACAAAAATAAACAAATGGGACCTAGTGAAACTTAAAAGCTTTTGCACAGCAAAGGAAACTGTAAACAAGACGTAAAGACAACCCTCAGAATGGGAGAGTATTTGCAAACGAATCAACAGACAAAGGATTGATCTCCAAAATATATAAACAACTCATGCAGCTCAATATTAAAAAAACAAACAACCCAATCAGAAAATGGGCAGAAGACCTAAATAGACATTTCTCCAAAGAAGACATGCAGATGGCCAAGAGGCACATGAAAAGCTGCTCAACATCACTAATTATTAGAGAAATGCAAATCAAAACTACAATGAGGTATTACCTCACACCTATTAGAATGGGCATCATCAGAAAAATCTACAAACAATAAATGCTGGAGAGGGTGTGGAGAAAAGGGAACCCTCTTGCACTGTTGGTGGGAATGTAAATTGATACAGCCACTATGGAGAACAGTATGGAGGTTCCTTAAAAAACTAAAAATAGAATTACCATATGATCCAGCAATCCCACTACTGGGCATATACCCTGAGAAAACCATAATTCAAAAAGACACATGCACCCCAATGTTCATTGCAGCACTGTTTACAATAGCCAAGTCATTGAAGCAACCTAAATGCCCATCAAGAGACTAATGCATCAAGAAGACATGGTACATATATACAATGGAATATTACTAAGCCATTTAAAAGGAACGAAACTGGGTCATTTGTAGAGATGTGGATGGACCTAGAGACAGTCATACAGAGTGAAGTAAGTCAGAAAGAGAAAAACAAATATAGTATATTAACACATATATGTGGAATCTAGAAAATAGTACAGATGAACCCGTTTGCAAGGCAGAAATGGAGACACAGATGTAGAGCACAAATGTATAGACAACAAAGGGGAAAGCGGGGGGCGGGCGGTGGTGGGATGAACTGGGAGATTGGGATTGACATATATACACTAATATGTATAAAATAGATAACTAATAAGAACGTGCTGTAGAAATAAATTAATTTAATTTAATTTAAAAAAAATAAAAAGAAAGAATTTAACTCAGAGCTTCCTGGTAGACACTTAGAAAATACATATGAATTTATTTATCCTCCAAGTTTACATGAAAATTTTAATTGTCCATAATTTAAACTAAATAACATTAAACACAACTGCCATATGAAATTTAAATTACTGGGGAAAATTAATGTAAGATATATAAACCCTTTTAAAAAATTTTTAATAGATTTATTTTTTAGATTCACAGCAGAATTACATGGAAGGTACAGAGTTTTCCCATACACTCCCCTGCTCCCACACACTCATAGCCTCCCCCATTATCAACATCCCCCACCAGAGTGGTACATTTGTTACAGTCAGTGCACCTACACTGACACATTATAATCACCCAAAGTTCATAGTTTCTTTGTTTATTTTTTATAAAATTATTTTATTTATTTTTGGCTGTGTTGGGTCTTTGTTGCTGAGTACATGCTTTCTCTAGTTGCGGCGAGCGGAGGCTACTCTTCGTTGTGCTGCATGGGCTCTAGGTGTGCGGGCTTCAGTAGTTGTGGCTTAGCAGGCTCTAGAGCACAGTAGTTGTGGCGCACAGGCTTAGTTGCTCCGTGGCATGTGGGATCTTCCCAGACCAGGGCTCGAACCCATGTTCCCTGCATTGGCAGGTGGATTCTTTAACCACTGGGCCATCAGGGAAGCCCCAAAGTCCATAGTTTCCACTAGGGTTCACTCTTGGTATTGTGCCTTCTATGGGTTTTGACAAATGTATAATGGCATGCATCCCCACCATCACCATATGATACAGAATTGTTCCACTGCTCTAAAATTTCTCTGTGCTCTGCTCATCATCCCCTTCTCCTCATTAACACTTGGCAACCATTGATCTTTTTGCTGTCTGCATAGTTTTCTGGAAGCCACTTTTAAAAGGGAAACGATATAGTAAGTGTTCATCAGAAAATAGAAGACATAACATTTTCTCCAAAGAAACAAAATTTTTATTGGCCTGAAATTCTATAAGAAATTACTTTATGGGATCAAAACATATACATCAGAAAACATCCACAACAATCTTCCAGAAAGTGCAGGTGCAGATCTTATTTAACTATATCTTATAATAAACTCATTTAAGCTGTAGGTCCAACTTAGTAAGAGAAGAATCTTCCAGGTTCTAAGTTAAGTTCCAAGAGACTAACTTGATCCAAGGTTAATATCTGGGAAATCAAGAGGAATTGTTAGAAAGCACATCCCCTTATCTAGGTTGGCTTCCATAAATATCATTTAAGAGGGATTTTTATAAGCACTCAAGTTTTGCCTAAAGAATTGGTCTTCCATGTTGTTTGAGAACAGATACATGCTTTAGAGACCAGAAGAGTAGGTTGATAATTTATTATGAAAGGTGAAAAGCTTAACTAGTACTTCCCCCCGTGTGGCAGTGGGATGCAAGAGTATTTTAGGCAACTTTGAATTTGCCCAAATACTTTGATAAAAGCTAAATTGAGATTAGAGATTCACAACACAGCATTGTCAGAGCTGGTTTAGGCATAGAAAATATTCAGGCAAATGTTTGCAGTTGCCTGTCTTAGACATCGAAAAATCTTAGAGAAGCATTTAATTCCCAACAGTAAAACCAATCAGTATTTGTTGAGCACTTATTACATGTACCATGTGCTTGACTAGGTACTTTACACAATTTACCTAATTTAATTGGGTGAGTTATACATTAAGAATTCCCAAATAAATATATTGACTTACTGTATGATGAAAATCATAGACTAAGTGAATTTTGGAGAATGATTTTCAAGTACAATGATTTTTCAGTGATGTCATAGTTAGTGTTAAGTTTTCTTCCTGGCAGTAATTAAATACTAAGTTTACTGATTTCTTGAGGCTATGGCAAAGACAATGCTAGATATTCAATTAAAAGTTTTCATTTTCCTCCTTCGCACACTGGAAAAATATATTTTCCAAATTCTCTTGCAGTTAAATTGGAGCCATGTAACTAGGTAGTGGCCAGTGGAATGCCACAAACCCCCAGAAATCCCTGGGCTCTCTTTCTCTCTCCCTTGGCCACGTGGCTACAGGAGACCTCCAGGAAGATAAAACCACAGGACAGAAGGAGCCCAGCTGCCCGAATAGCCACTTGCAAAGGATCACTTAGGACAGCTGTTCAACCTGCGTTAAATTTTTGCACTAATAAAAGGAACTGAATTGTGTTAAGCCAAAGATATTAGGAGTAATGTGTTAAAGAAGCTGGCCAGTGTTACCACTCTTGGTTTTGTGATACTAATCATTAAGATACAAATTTAAAACAGCTGAAAGGTAAGAGACTAAACATAACTATTTCATAATTCTTGAAACTGCTTTCTAATGTTGGTCAGCCATTCATGCCTATTTCAATTCTTCCAGTGATATTAAAATAGAATTGAAGGCCTATCATATAAAGTCTTTCATTGTCTTTGCAGAATTACTTGAAGATGGATGAGAATCATTGACAGTGAGTGCAGTTGTCCTTCCATATCCTCAGGGGATTGGTTCCAGGACCCCCACGGAGACCAAAATCCACAGATGCTCAAGCTCCTTAAATAAAATGGTGTAGTACGGTTGGCCCTCCCTTATCCGTGGGTTCCCACATTTGCAGATTCAACCAGTGGTGATGCATCTTCAGTTCCATCTTTGTGACAACCCTATTGGCCTCGTGTCCAGTCTCTGCAAGGGACACGCGCAGTCACTGAACTCAGGTTGTTCCAAAGCTATGGTTTGCCATCTGGCATATTTGGTTCTCCCTGTCTAAATGCAGTTTACCAATCAAGGGTCCATTTTTACCAGCCACATAGCTACACAGTTCACAAATCACCTTATCAGGTTGCCAGGGGAACAATGCTAAAAAGTTAACATAAGGTCAAATTCTCATGAAGAATGGGAAAGGATTTTGTTAACCGTTTACCCACATAGAGGTTTCTGTCAACTTGACTGTAATGGATTCTTTTAATATATTCCTAGATTGTACTTACTAATCATTTATTTAGGGCTTTTGCATTGATATTCATATCTGCACATGTGTGTATGTTTGTGCACATATGAAAAGGCTATTTTTTCAGGTGTAGATATCAATGACTTCTCAGGAATAATTCGTAAGCATTTCTTTTTTGATATTTTAGAAGAATTTAAATAGTATTAGAATTATCTGTTCTTTGAAGGGGTGGTATGCTCTGATTGTGGTATAGCTACAGCTGCTGTGTGTAGGCTGGAAAGCTTGTGACTCATGTTATTTTGTAAAATTATTACTGTGCTCACTTGGAAAGTACAGTAAATCCAGACAAAAGGAATATCATTATAGAAAATGAGAATGTTAGTATATTTGCTGCTCCTTGTCGCTTTTACAAGGTATCTTAAGAAAGGGATGGCCTCGGGCAAGAACTGGCTGTTTTACAAGCAGAAATGGCAGGAAATGAGAATGTCCAGAAATTTCGGGCCTCCCAAGGTTGAAAAAGATAACTGCTTTTATGCCCTGAACATTAATATAAATATATATCTGATCCCTGTGGCAAGGATCAGAGTAAGGGTGTAGCCCTCCCAAACAACCCTATAATTTCAGCTAGCCTCAAGGTGGCCTCCATTAAGATGAAAGAGTAAGGTATGGACACGAGGAATCAAAGAAATAAAGCAGGCTTAAGAACTAGGACTAGAAAAGACTTTGGTTATGTTATCTGCACAAGGAACTGACTGGAAGCAATTAGATCAGAAGTCTATTAGGGTTTTAAGGAGATCTTAAAGGCACAGAAACCATGAGCCTGGACTGAAAATGTGGCCTCTCTTAGCTCCTTAAAAGCAACACTCAGGCCTTCAAATCTGTACCAGTAGAAAAAGAACTGTCAGTGATGTACAGTCCCCAAGGAAGGCATATGCTCCAATAGTCACTTCTGATGTGGCCCTAGAGGATGGATGAATGGACAAGGTAGTAGAAGCAGGGGTGACCTGATTGTCTGACCCTCCCTCTGCTGCCAGAGAAGAGCATCTCCGTAATTCTTGCTCAACTGGGGTCAAAACTGCTGTGAAGGGCTTCCCTGGTGGCGCAGCGGTTGAGAGTCCGCCTGCCCATGCAGGGGACACGGGTTCGTGCCCCGGTCCAGGAAGATCCCACATGCCGTGGAGCGGCTGGGCCTGTGAGCCATGGCCGCTGAGCCTGCGCGTCCGGAGCCTGTGCTCTGCAACAGGAGAGGCCACAACAGTGAGAGGCCTGCGTACTGCAAAAAAAAAAAAAAAAAAAACTGCTGTGAATGAGCAGCTGTGTGTTCCTCATCCTTCTCTTTTCTTAATAGGATTTTTTGAAGCAGTAATCCTGTCCCTGTGTCACCACCGCATATGGGACAGGAGGAGCAATAGCTTGCTTAACAGCTTGCCTGACACTGTGAGAACTTGGTAGAGAAAACACATTTTCTCTCTCCTTTGCCCAAACACTACCGCTACCCAACACCCTCACTTTATCCTGACTCTGCTCAAATGACATCTCCCAGAGGTGAACATATCACTCCACCTAAAATCACAGCCCATCTCTTTCTATCACCTTATCCTTCTTTTACTCTATTTACACCTTTATCCTCTCTTTATAGCACATATTGTCTTGCTCCCCCAATGCAATGCAAGCTCTTTCGGGGCATGACTTTGTCTTGTTGCTGAAGTCCTAGCACCTAGAAATGGCCGGTACAGGGTAGGCTCTCAATAAATATTCGCTGGGGGGAAAAAAAAAAGACTAAATAATTAAGAGCTTCTGATTTCCAGGTATTGGAAGTTGTGTGCGCTTAGTTCTATTTTGCCGTTTATCTGTATCACATTGTAACCAGCAATAGATGATTATTTGTGTGCAAGGAAATTGGGATTACTCCTTGCAAGGTGGCATTATCTGGTATGAAACCTAACCAAAACGTACTACCGGAAAAGTACAGATATTGCTAAAAGCTGTTTGGTATGGTTCTTTCTTATTTTATATATATATATATTTGGCTGCATTGGGTCTCAGTTGAGGCACGCAGGATCTTTCCCTGTGGCATGTGGGCTCTAGAGCATGTGGGCTTAGTTGCCCCTCTGCATGTGGGATCTTAGTTCCCTGACCAGGGATTGTTCCACGTCCCCTGCATTGGAAGGTGGATCTTAAAAACTGGACCACCAGGGAAGTCCTCTTGTTTGTTTTTAAGACTGAGATAGTGAAATGTCACTCCCATGGGAACTCCACCTCTTTTTTTGGAATGGGCACTGGTGGTCATAATAGCAGCAGATTACCCAGTTAGACCTTGGAATTCCTTTAGAGTCTCCTCACTCCATGATTCAACAAAGACTGATATAATTAGCTACGGCTGACTCAAGGGAGAAGCTAAAGTTCACCAGGCAGAATTTAATCCAACCCAATGCAATCTATTTAATATTTGCTGAATTTAAGCTTTGTGCCAGGCATTGTGCTGGGCGCAAGGGATACAATGACGACTGCCCTTGCCCTCCTATTGGTTAGATTAGTGTCTCGAGGGAACCTAGATTTGGTAGAGAAGCAGTTCCACCACAGTGCATTAAGAGTTACTCTAGGGTACGCATAGGGCTATAGAAGCACATGCCACAGGCACGCGAAAAATCACAAAGGCTTCCTTCCTGGGTAACTGTCAGCTAAGCTTGGATCCAAAATGTAAGTGGAGAGTGTCCCTATGAAGAAGGAAGATGCTGATTCACTTTGCTGTACACCTGAAACTAACACAATATGGTAAATCAACTATATTCCAATAAAACTTAAAAAAAAAAAAAGAAGGAAGATGGACTGTTTTCTAGACCAAAGAAAATATATGGAAAAAAAAAAAAAGAGATAGGCAGAGGGGGTATTACACACTTACTCCAGACCTTTGTCCTATTTTCACCTACCACTCATCCTCCTTTCGTTCTATCTCCAGTTTTTAGCCTGTAGGTTAGCCCCTTTCTCTCTAATCATCCATTGCTCAAGCCAGGAACCTATAAACAAAGAAAATGGCTAAGGAGCAGCCACTGAAACCTGGAACCAGGCCTACATCACACTTACAGAAATTTGATTTTCTGCAGAAAAAATATTTTGACTCCTACATTTTTAGAAAGATCTGAAATGGATGACACCAAGCTGTTTGCCTAAAATAATGTCCCAAGCCTGAAATGGAATGGATATTTCCTGAGATTAAAATAGAAACTTGTTTTGCTAACAGAAAACAACTTGGAAATCAAAGAGTCATTTAAGTTGAAACCATTATTTTTCCTTTTCTTGCAGAAAATTCCTGTGTTTATACACACTAAGAGATAGAGATAATGAGGTCCCTCTTCCACAGAACTTTCCATTAAAAATTTAAAGTTGGAGAAATCTCAAAAAAAACAATACAGATGGGGGTGGAGTTTGTAATGTAACAAACTCATTCAATAAACATTTAGGAGCACCTACTACATGCCAGGCACTGAACAAAGAAACTTGCCCTTGTAGAGTCTGCATTCTAGCAGAAAGAAGACATGCAAAACAAGAAATAAGCAAATTATATAGGAAACTAGAAGATGAGTGCTTTGGAGAAAAGACAAATTAGAAAAGGCAGGGACAGGTTGCAATTTTAAATAGGGTGGTCAAGGTTCGTCTCCTCAAAGAGGTGACATATGAGCAAAGACTGAAGTGAGAAAGGGAGCCATACCGATATCTGGGTCCAGGCAGAAGTAACAGTCAACGGCCCGAGGCAAGGGGCATGCCTGGAGTGTGGGAGAAAGGCACGGAGGCCATGGATTAGAGGAGAGGTATGGGAGACCAGATCACCGGCCTGGGCAGTTATTCCGGGTAGGGCTTGGGAAGAGTGGTGACTTGATTGGACTGATGTTTTAACGTGCATTTTAGGTTAATCACTGAGTGTTTTCATTTGAACACAGTCCTTTTATAATACATTTTACTCTGCAACAACAGAACAATGATGGTTCAAAATAGTTTTCTAAATGATCTCCGCAGTATCGGGCACCACAGCACTGCTAAGTAGTAACCGCCCTCCCTCTCCGGGGGACACGTACCCCTAAAAGGGCAGCCGTTGCTCTCCTTCTAATGTGCTCAGTGTTGAGCAGGCAGAGATGGAAACAGTCTGCACGTCTCTTCTTCAAAACTCGAAAAAGAAGCCAAGCATTTCTTTCGCTTGGTTACAAAATTTTTAAAAATCTGCCTCTGCCAACTCTGCGGGAGAAGCAAACTCCCGGAGTTTGCCTTTGCTAATTTGTCCAAGTCGTGCTGCGGTTTCACTACATGCAGACACTGCTCAGCTCCAGTCCCACAAACCTCTCTCATCTTGGACTTCGCCCTCCGGTGAAAGCTGCGGCTCGCCCCTTCGGTCACCACCTGCTCTGAAGGAGCCCGCGGAGCGCGCACCTCCGCCCCGGGCCCCTTTCCTCCCCGGCTCTGCCTTTCCTGCCGAGCACCCTGCTCTCTCCAGCCCAGGCCAGGCTTGCAACTTTCCTCCCAGCCTGGCGCTCACCCCGCTTGGCTGGTCCCCAAGAGACGCTGCCTTCCCGCGGCGCCCCCGCCCCCGAGCTTCCCGCAGCCGGGCCGAGCGCCCTCACCCCTCACCCGGGGCCCCGAGAGCGGCTAGTCGGGCGCACGCGCGCCCCCCGCCCCTCCCCGCAGGCGGTGCAGCTTCCCCTGCAGCACCTCCCCTCTCGGGGAGGGAGCCGGAGGGGGCTCGGGACGCCGCGCGCAGACCTGCTCCCGCTGCGCGCCGCGCCGCCCTCCTCCGAGAGCGGCAGCAGTAGCCGCGGCGGCCGCAGGGGTTCCCGGCTGCCGCAGCTCCTCAGGGGAGACGAACGCGCCTCTCCTGCGAGCCCAGCACCCCCAACCTGCTCGCTGCGCGCAGCTGAGCCGCCGCGCGGGACTCGTCGCCCAACATGGATTTCCTCCTGGCGCTGGTGCTCGGGTCCTCGCTCTATCTGCAGGCGGCCGCGGAGTTCGACGGGAGGTGAGTCGGGCCCCGGGGCGCCCTCTCCTGCTCGTTGCAGCGCTAATTTCACACCGCCCTGGGGTTCCCCCTCTCTGCTCTCGCTCCAGAAGTTGGGCCACCGCACAGCCTCGGCGGGAGGAGAGCCGTCGAGCCGCCCT